CATGTAAGCAGTGTTAACTATAGTTATCATGTTGTACTTTACATCTTCATTACTTATTTATCTTATAACTGGAAGTTTGGATCTTTTTACCACCTTACCCCAATACCCCTTTTCCCACACCCCCACCTCTGGTAACCATAAATCTGATCTTTTTTTCTATGAATTGGGTTTTTTGTGTTTTAGAATCCACATATAAGTGAGATCATACAGTATTTGTTGTCCTCCTCCTGACTTATTTCCTTTAGCATAATGCCCTCAAGGTCCACTCATGTTGTTGCAAACAGTAGGATTTTCTCATTTTTTTTGTGGTCAAGTAATATTCCAGTGTATGTATATATCGTAACTTCTTTATATATTTATCCACTGATGGATACTTAGGTTGTTTCCACACCTTGTTATTTAAAATAATGCTGCTGTTAACATGGAGGTAAAAATATCTTTTTAAGGTAATGTTTTCATTTCCTTTGGATATATTCCCAGAAGTAGAATTGCTAGATCATAAGGTACTCCTATTTTTAATTTTTAAAGGATCATCCATACAGTTTTTCACAGTGCCTGTATGAGTGCCTAAGGGTTCCCTTTCCTCCACAGCTTCACTAGCTTTTATTATACCCTTTAATGATGACCATTCTAACAGACATGAGGTAATATCTCATTATGATTTCCATTTACATTTCCTTAATGACTAGTGATGTTGCGCACATTTTCATGTATCTGTTGGCCATTTTTATGTCTTCTTTGGAAAATAGCCTATTCAGGTCTTTTGTCCACTGTTGAGTTGTGTTATTTTGGTTATTTGGGTTTTTGTTTGTTTGTTTTGCTACTGAGTTGTATGAGTTCCTTATATTCTAGATATTACCACTTCTTAGATATATGGTTTACAAATATTTTCTTCATCCCATAGGTTGGCTTTCATTTTGTTAATTGTTTATTTTGTTGTGCAGAATCCTTTTAGTTTGACATAGTCCCACTTATGGTTTTGTTTTTATATCCAAAACATCATTACAAGGAATAATGGCAAGGAGATTTTTCCCTGTTTTCTTCTAGGAGTCTCACAATATCAGGTCTTATACTTAAATCTTTATCTAATTTTTGAGAATGGTGTGAGATAGAGATTCAATGTCATTCTTTCGCATATGAATATCTAGTTTTCTCAACACCATTTATTGAAGAGTCTACCCTTTTCCAGCCAGTCATCAGTTAATGCCACTTTTCTAAGGGTAGTATATCATTTTTTTTAAACCCTGCCTGTTTTTAAATTGTTCTCTCTTTTATTTACAAATGTTTTATTATGAAACACTTGGGTATAGTTTTCTTGATTTCTTCTACTTGGAGTTTATTGAGCTTCTTTGATCTTTGGGTTGATGTCTTTCAGTTTGGAAAACCTTTGGTCATCATGTCTTCAAATGCTGATTTCCCTCATTCTCTCTCTCTCTTATTCTTCTGAGAATACAATTAAATGTACATTATATCATTTGAGTGTGACCTACCTGTCTCTTCACATTGCTTTGGTTTTGTTTTTGTTTTTTCATTATATTTTTTTCTGTGCACTACAATTTGGATATACTTTATTGAATTTTATTTAAGATCACTAGCTCTGTCTGCCATTTAATCCATAAAATGAGTTCTTAATTTCAAAAATTGCACTCACAAATTCAATAATTCATTTTTTTCTATATAGAAATCCTTTGTTGCAATTCTCTGTCTTTTCATCCTTAATTTTAAAATTATTTTACAATGGCCATTTTAAAGCCTACATCTAAAGTATCATCTATTGCTTCTATTAATATTTTTTTTACCTTGGTTATCACATTTTTCTTCTTCATATATCTCATAATATGTAAATGTGTCTTGCATATTTTATAATAATAATAATAGAGATTGAGATTGTGATTATTTTCCAAAGAAGTTTAGCCCTTTTGTTCTGCTAGAAAGTGAAGGACTAATAACCTCAATTTAATCAGGTACTGAGTTAGGTCAGTGCTGGAGAGAAGTTTTGTTAAACACAGTCCATACCTGGCTTTAAATAATTAGGGGCTATACCGATCATGTGTGTGTTTCAGGTTGTTTCCCAGTTGTCCTCCTTTCCCAGGTTCTGCAAGCTTACAAAAGATATCACTCTGCCTTTCTACCCCCTCCTTAGCTACTCTTACTACTCTAGCACTCAGTAAATATTTCGTGGGTAGAAATGGCTATTATGTGTTTAGAGTTCCTCTAAATTCCAATCCAACTGAATTCTTTCTCCTAGAGGTCTCTCTCTGCTTATGGCAAATGCAATCTTCAGTTATACACAGATCTACCAAATTCTCCCAGGACAGAAATCTTTAAATTCATCTTTCTTGTTTCTTTAAAAATAAAAGATTGGAAGATTGGTTTTGTTATTATTTTGTTTTTATTTAGAGCAATTTATGGCTTGCTGCTCTCTATTATATTGTATTCAGTAGTGTAATTTACTTTTTATTATAAGTTAGTGTAGGCCTATTTGTAAATATTTGAAGCACTCACATATAATAGTGGGGAAATAAAACTTCCCTGAAGTTCTGAGTGCCCTTGTGAAAAATTCCAGTCTCCTGACACACAAAAAAATGTATATGATTTAAAGATAGGGAGTATTTGCATTCACTTCTCCCAGAAATATTTTATCTTCACATACCATGAGAATTGGGTCTGTAGCCACTTTCTAGTTCACTGACCTCTTCCAAAGAATAATAAAACTTTTCCCTATCTTCCCAAGGGGGCCAAAGAGTCAGAGAGCAGACAAGGTCCTAAATTAAATCCCAGGGTGCCAGGAGTACTGGGGCCTTATCTCCCTTGGTATTTATGTTAGAAGGGATGAATCCCAGCATTAGGAGACATTGTCTGGTGTTTATCTGACCCTTGGAAAGACATATTTGTATGCCTGAGGGTTAGGGCAAGAGCATAGGACCCTTTCCATCTCATCTTAATGGAATAACATTTTTTTTCTCTCCTTCCAGGAAGGAAGAGGTTGCCTGTCCCTTTCCTATACGTAAATGGAGAAATCCATTGTTCTCTGTCCCTCATTTATAGGGTGTAAACTGCTACCTATATAGAAAAGTCCCACTGCCTCTTACCATATCCCCTGCAAGACTAGGTGGGGGACCAATGTTGTGACATCTGGCTATTAAACTGGTGTTGAGTATCAATTAGGAATTCTTGTCTTCTGACCCAGGTACCTTAATGCAAGTGAGATAACATCCCAGCCCCTTCGCAATTCTTGACAAAGCAGTACAATAGATTTCATATTTTAATTAAACTATTATTGTTTTACATACAGTAACTATTTTGGTGACATAACTAATTTTTCCTGAAATTAACAGATTAATAAAATCCATTTACTCATTCAATAAACATCATTTACATTCCTATGTGTACCAGTCACTTTGCTTTGTTTTTGGAACACATTGGTAAATAAGGCAGGTATGATACTAGCCCAAGAAGAGTAGACAGCCTAGTGTCAGAAAAAAAACCAATGAAAATATGAACTTCAATCAAATATGATAAATTTTCAGGTTTATTTTTGTATTCCTACCACTTCCATTAAACAATTTGTCCAAAAAGGTCAAAACAGAAAGGAATCATGTCCCTTTGCCCATGAAATGAAGTTCTCCTTGAAATTTTTAATAAGTAGTTCAGAATTGATAGTATTACAAGAAAATTATTTTAAGAGGGCAGCATGCATGTATAGTTTGAATTTATGAGAATGAATGTATATATGCATGTATGTGTATGTTTGTTTGTTTGTGTGTGTGTGTGTGTGTGTGTGTGTTCATTTGTGTGTGTACCACCCATGGGGCTTTAGAATGTAAACGAAGTTGAGGGTAAAAGGGCTACAGAAAGTTTTATATCACACTTTCATTCATTATCATTCAACAACTAGTTGTCAGATGTTGTATACTAAGAATTGTTGTAAGTTAAATATATCAATCAAAGAATTTGTTTTTGTCTCTAAGTATTATATTATAATGAGACTGAATAACTGTTTAGATTTAATGAAAATACCATACAGAAGCTTAGTTGTAGGAATTTAAATGACATGCCTTTTTCACATATTATAAATTTTAACTATTAAATATCAATGTTTATTGGCTACTTCAGGCTTTATTTTAATAGGGAAAATTATATTTAAGAAATCTCAGTTTAAATACAAAGAAACATCATTCTGCTTTAAAGCCTAATACCTCCATATATCAACATGACCACATATTTAGGTGATAGATTTTTGTGAGTGCCTTCTGGAGAAATCTAATTAGCAAGAGTCTGATGAATACAAGTCCTAATATTTAGTGTTTTATAAGTTATAATATGCCCTTTACTTCACATTTTCAAATGCATATTGTGTGATGAATATCATTACTTGGGCTTTATTCTATTTCTGAAAAAAAAAGTATATAATACAAGACCTGGGACAATTCATCAAAGTTTATAACAACTGAATATTTGAGGTAATAATGTTCTGTCTTCAAACCATTTCTTAGGTAACTATCATTTTTTATTCTATTATTTTTTAGACTTGACATTGGTTCTTCGTCCATAAAGAAACATGTACAAGTTAAAATTGGTAAAAACAGAAATTAAACAATCCTTATGTAATATACATTATATATTTTCATAGATAATATATAATCATATTAAATTACAAAGGCATCACCCATAGCAAAAATAATGTAAGAATACAAAGTTGATTGAGATATATAAGAAGTTTAAGCATTAGTTTAAATTCAATATAGATAATAATAGAACAAAATTTTTTCTGATCATTCTTCTTTTGAAAAAAATATTGATTATTTTTACAATTTGAAATAAGATGAGTTGAAGAAAAGTGTTACTATAATATAAATGATTGTAGTGGGTTTTCTATGGGAGATAATACTGATATTATAAATATTAAAGTGACTTAAAATAGGACTAAATGATACAAGCAGAGACAGATGATTCTAATATTCACTTCACAGTAGAAATTCCACAGGGAAGTTACTTACCCAGAATTTTTCTTTCTGTCCCTTTGCTCCTCTCAGTGTGCCCCATCTACAAATATATTAGTATAGTTAAAAATATTCAATGTACATCTTGATAAGATATAAATTATTGTCAGGATTATAAGGTCTTTTTGCCCCACCCTGATTTTACTATAGAACGGTCATCATTGCCCTTCAAAAATGTATTTGTATAGTTTTCTTTTTAGCCATAACATTATTTACTTGCTCATAATATACTCATCTATGTCCAAATGACTAGAAATCAAACTCATTTATCAAAGGAGATAAATCTAGGGCAACTGGGTCACGGTGTTTTATCATACTTAATGATGCCTCCCCTCTTTTCACCTAGCCCTCTGAAACTCTACCCTAACTGGCATAAACTAACAATCTCCAAGACTACTGATAAAATCCATAATGTAAATACAGATGGTTGTTGTAGATAAGAGAGTTTATGTGAAAGTATTCACATGCCTTTATTAATTTATAAAATGGCTATGTGCCTAATGTGGAATTTCTGTGTGCACATTTTGTGTAGAAATCAAATCCTATATTCCCAGAGCTGATCCATTTTAATGTACCATGTAACAATCCATTAAGAATCCAAACTTACAACATCTCATTTCTTTCTTTGCACTAAACCCAGTGATGTAAGTATCGCTAACATGCTCTATTACTAATGAAATAACAAGACTTATCTAAGATCATAGACTGGGAGATGTTGAGCCAGGACTCCAAAGCCCATGTTCTTCCTAATATATCATAATGCTTTTCTATAAAACATACAGTCCTCACTGCAGTGTGTCCTGAACAACCTAAGTTTTGTGCGGAAAAGGTGTGTTGACTACCACTTCCATGTGCTTTGATGGATTGTGAAGATACAATTCTGCTCATGTATCATCCATCAACTCATCCCTAATATCTCAAATCTCAACCTCAGAGTTCCTTCAAGCTAAATCATAGTAGGCCATTATATAACAAACGTTCCTGGAAGAGACACAAATTTGTTGTTCAAATATTTTTCAACACATCATTTACCGGAAAGCTGATTTTAATAGAGTATGACATAGAATGATGGCACCATAGCCTAGAGGTGTTGCCTAAATAGGATGGATTTATGGTACAGGTCTGGGGGAATTCAAGTAAACCAATGCATTTGCAACCTTTGGGCACCAGAGTGAAGGAAGAAAAAAGTGATTTGAAAGGTGAGAAAACACTAAAAAGCTATTTATATTTCTCTTTTTTCCTGACGGAGGCTAAGAGTGGTAATTGCACAGATTGCCATGTCTCTTTTAGTTCTCTGCTGCATGCAGGGATAGACTGGAAAACTTTAAGGTTTCAAATATTGCTTAATGTGTTCAGACTGGTTCAATTTTCAACACCATACTGCAGTTTTATAATTGTATTTACATCCTCATAGCTTTTCTAAAAAAGCTATTGCTACTGAAAAAATTTACCAGTCATAATATGTGCCCCCAAATCTTCAAAGGTCATGATGTACTTCAAGTAGTAGACCCTTACTGAAACCTTGAGTTCATTTTCTACTAATTTATAACGGCTATCAGAACAATTTCGGAAAGCCTTTACCATTCGATCAAACTTATTTTAGGTGGTCTGGCTACTAGTTACTTCAGCTGTTTAACATACAAGGCTAATCAGAAGAATCTAAGGAACTACTCAACTCCAAAATTATACAGGGAGAAGAGGAACCCCAATCTGAGATCCCAACTGAATTATAAATAGTTGAAGGCAGTCTTGCTTGAAGGACTAAGAATCCTAAGAAAGCAGTCCCAATCAAGAAGGAGGTATCCAGATATGACAAGCTTGATTCAGTAATTAAGATTTGATCAAAGAAAGGAGGAGCAATTGAGAGTGTGGTTTGTGCCCTGCTCTCAGATCTGACGGAGCTCAGCTCTCACACTGCACTCAGCAAAGTCTAGAGTAGGGATGGGGCAAGTCAGACTTGTTATTAGAACCTGAAAGAGCTATTTCACTAAAAGCTCTGTGTATTTGATAAAACACTTTAATAACACTCAAATAGAGAGTAATACCAAAAGTAGATAAAGGTTCCTTTCCCACTTTGTAAGCTCTTCTTAACTTGTTGGGCTCCCCTACATTGAGGATGGTGTATGGAGATATAAAAGAATTCCACAGAGGGAATTGAGAAGACATACAAGAAAAATACACAATGAAATATGTGTTGCATTTATGAATAAGCCTAGTTTAGCCCTTAGGCACGCTCAGAAATATCGAGACACTGTTTTGTAGCATGAAGATCCACAATTGCATATGGGGTTAAGATTTAGCAAAATAATTCCATTCCCCATAGATCAGAGATTATCCTAAAGAAACAGAACATTTCTTAAAAAAGAAGAGGCACTTCAGAATGTAGTTGTATAATTTTTCTTATTCTGCCAGTACCAAATAAATTAAAAGTAAAATAAACTAGTTTGGAGATGTCTAATTTTTTCTAACCGGAAATTTTATTTTTGTTCAATTGCCTATGTATTTCATATGTTCCTATATATTTTGTTATGATTATGTGAATAGTATTTTCAATGATATAACTGACAGCATTAATTCTTATCTGGCAAATGTATCAACATTTTGGAGTTGCTGTAAATTTCTTTTCAAGAAGTACTGCTGTTTATTATCACTTTCAGATGCATTATTTAAGATACCAGTCATTTTTAACCCAAAGAGAATACCAGCATTAAGATCATTATAAAAGCTCTCAAAATGGACAGATGAACAAATGAAGTCTTAACAGAAATTAGAGAGGAAAAGAAGAGTAAGCCCACTGAGTCTGACAGTTTCAGAGACTAGGACGCTTGTGAAAGAAAACTATAAACAAAGGATGTTAACCTTTATGTAAAATTCAGATGAAAAGAAATTATCACACCTCAACACAGAAACTCAGGCAATTCCTTTATGTTATAGCCTCTGTGTCAAATGACAAGCAAGGCCCATCCATCACAGGATCTAATGTTTGCACTGTGACCTTCAGTCATGCTTTCTCTCCTCTATCTTCTCCAGACAGTTCCCAAGATGGTAATCAAATATCCTACAGAGTCGCAATGGGTTGTTGTAGAAATAGATGTATGGGTTGTTCCCAAACTACTGCATGCTCAAAAAGACTGGAAAACATCATTTGCCCTCGGTGATTTCCCGTTAGTACCACAGCAGACTCATGGAATCGAAACCTTTATCGAAACAAAAATAGAGGTTATCTAGTACCAAGCAAGATGACTACTAATATTCATGTGCAGGAGAGAGTTCCTCTCTTCTTGACCTACAAAGGGCACATTCCCTAATACATATATGTTCCAGAATTGTGGTGCTGGACTTTTGTTTGCCATTATACGTGCACACTGAAAGTTCCAAAAATACCTATGCATTTGCAAGAATATCCCTTTGTAAGTCAATGGCTGTCTTTGAGGGCATGAGGATCTTCAGTTCTTCATTTCATTCATATTTGCTGTAAACATAACTATACTCTTCTTTCCTTCACTTACGTCTTTTCATGTTAAAGACTATTCACAAACATTTGTTTAGCCAGACCAGAACCTTAACTTACTCTGCTAAGATTGTCTCCTTAACCTTGTTAATCTAAAACAAACTGAATGAAAGGACCACAAGCTTGAGAGATCTTAATAGCGGCTTTTCTTGCCTCAAGGGATATTGCTTCATATGAACTTTATACTGTTCTTTTGAATTTTTTTCTACCTCATTAAGTTAAACTGTTTCAATTATTCGTTGAGACCTGTTAATGCTTCTTTTGTCTCAAATTTAGTGACACTTTAGAAAATGTTGGTATTTTAAAAATCGAGGCATCTCTTAGCCCATGTACAATATTTCCTGAAGATGCCTGAGAACTAATGGTTCCCTGCATCAAGTCTATGGTTAGAGCCCTCACGCCCAGATGATCATTAAAGCTCTTCCTTCCGGATTCATTTTATATGTTCTCACCTCAAGCGCGATGATTAAAGTTCTTCCCTGCAGATTTATTTTATTCTCACTTTTAGGTAGTTCTAGAAATACTACTCTTTTGCATAATACTAAAAATATTTTTGGAGAGACCATAAATTCTGCAGAGTAAAGCATAAAACCCACCAAAGAATTATGTAAGATTTTGTATTGCTAAGGTTATTAATATCTTTATGCATGTTCCCATTAAAAAGGATATCATTATTTTCAGATAACTGTGCTAGACAATACTAGACTTCTTAAAATTATACTTCAAGCTATGTCTAGATAGTAAAATTCTTGGAGCCAAATAACTACTTTGTATAAGATTTTAAATGATGACGTTTTTTTCTCTCTCTTGGTTTTAGATAATTTTGCCATTGAGGTCCATTCATTCAGTGGTGGTCATATTAGATATGGTAAATAGGAGAGAAATGAAGATACAACTTGCTTAAAGTAATATTTATATTCTCACAAATATCCCTTTGAAAAGTAAAGCACAGAATCTCTGTGTACTTCATCCACTTATTTATGCCTTTGTTCAGTAAACTACTCTGTAGTACAAAAAAGATGTACCTTTTGCCTTCAAGAAGCTGACAATCTAATGAGACTGATGTTGGAAATGAAAAACAACTATAAAAATAATTCGAATCTATAATTGTTGCTTTTATAAAAGCATGTTTTAAAAATTTCTGTGAGCTACAGATGAAGAAATTAGCTTGTCTGCAGAGTGCAAAAATGACTCCCTTACAGAAATGAGTAGGAATTACTCAAGTAGAAATGGGAATACAAAATTTTAGGCATAAGTAAATGCAAAGACACAGGAGAGCCGTGAAAAGCTCATCACCCCAACCTATTCTAAGAGCAGCTCTTGGCCCAAGGTGACCAGAGAAGAGTTAGCTAAGCAGATTTGTCTCAAGCCGTAAAGCACTTATGGCCACCGAACTTGGCATTTACAAAGTTGGTGGTAAAGAGTGACCCACATATGGCATATGACATGAGTCACATCTTCAGAGGGACAACAGTCTTCAGAGGGACAACTCTGAGGTTGGCGTGGACGATAGATTCCAGAAGGAGGAGGTTGGAAGCACAGGATGAATGT